TAAAGTCATAAAAAATTGGGTTAGAAAACCTGAACAGAACTTCTGCTGGAATCATCATGAAAAGCCAACTGGTAAGTACAACACATCATCCTTGGTGAGTCAAAATATGCGGCTCAAAGTTCCTGGCTGCTCAGAGAAGAAAGTACTGCAAGGGCAACCCTAGGACGGACATTTCCTCACGTTGTCACCTGGCTGGCAGGAGGTGGGACTCCAGTCACTGTGTTTCCATTTTGATACACAACATTTTACCAAAGTTACAAAAAAGCTGGATGCACACTGGGGCTTTCAGAATTAAATGAGTAAAAAACTTAACTATCTACACAAAATCTAAAATTTGAAACTCAGACTTTTTATAATTTAAAAAGACAAACTTTAACACAACCCCACACAAAAGCCAAAACAGAACTGGGCAAGCACTGTACATTTCTGTAGTGTGTTTCTATGTATAAGAATGACTATAAATTAAATTTCTTATTTCTAGCAATTTTCTTCCATAAACAACAACAGTCACTGCTAAGAGGGCCACTTTCAAACTTACTAGAAATATTCTTTTTCCTGAATATTCTAATCTTTAAAATAAACAGTAGCTGTCACATTCTTACTGCAAAATCTAAAATGGTAATCCATGTACTGTATTTCATTTGTAATAAGTTTTTGTGATAAGGTTAACACTTCAACACACAACACAAATAAAAAGCACCAAAAATGAAAATTACTTTGCTTATGTTTCTGTATTAGGATTTTATTTGCTAAAGGGTAAAAACAGATTTGCAAAATTCACAGTTAACTTAAAACAATAGTTTTAAACCTTTATTCCTAGCCCTTACTGCCTTCAGGAAGGAGAGAACATCTGGTTATTTAAGGAACACAATATGTTCACATTTTCTATGACTTTTGTTTCTAATTGGGTTTTAAAATTTTTTCTTGAATTTGAACAACTAGCTACAACAATGTTTTTTAATCACTTCATATTTTTCAGATTGTCCTTCTTCTAGCCTTCTAACTTCATTTGGTGGATTGTTTTTGGAAATCTGCTCAGTAGTTCTAATATGATAAAGACAAGAAAATGAACATTAGGATTGTGGTCTTCAGAGCTAAGTACGGAAATCGTCTTTAAGGTGTGTGGAGTCGGGAGCACAGAGCATGCTGTACACAGATACCTGACACCCAGTCTCTTCATAAAGCATGCATTTTCAAATGCTTCAACTTGCTCCTGCGCCTCTTACAAAACCAGTTTCATATAACACAGATGAATAATTTGTGTAAGAAATACATTAGCTGGATTCCACTATTTTTAAAACAAATGGAGCTACAGCTCCTTTGTGGAGGGTGGTCTGAAGACCTGGGCTCTGTTGCTGGCCCCCCACTGGAAAGCTGTGACTCTGCATAAACCTCTCAACTTCTTCTACAAAAGGAGAAGGCTTCTCAGTTCTTTGCAGTTCTAAAATTCTAAGAGCTAAAGTGAAGTGAATTAACTAGATTCTCTGCTATGTCTTCTTTATTGCATAATATTTTAAGGTGGTAACAGGTTTTTAAATAATTAGGACACATAGCAAATGAAGGAACCAGATGCTAAGTTCCAGTTGCAGAATTAATTCACTATCTTGATGAAAATGGCAGTTGAAAAATATCCCATTGGCTACGGCTTTTATTGAATGTGAACATGGGTACAGAAACACGCCACGTGAATGAAATGAGGTCCACCAAGATCAGTGTCGGTGTAACATACTGGTGAGAGGCACAGCACCTGAATCCGAATTCAATTCTATCATTTTTTTCTTTATACCAAGCACATGCAGACCACAGAAAGCGAAGTGCTAAAAAAAATGAGCAGGATCCAGCCTCAAAGAGTAACAACTGATATAATAAATATGCAAATAGATAAAATGCAAGTTGCTGTGTGACTCAAAGAGGAGGGCGTGTCCTATCTGAACTTGGAAAGGGCTCCACAGAGGAGGCAGAAAGGATGCCAGGGATCTGAGGAGGAACGAATAGATAAAAGGGTCGTGAAGCCGCGCTAGCTAGCCTGGAAGCTTACAAGCTTTTTGACCTTGGGAAAGCCATGACCTTAACCTCTTCCTACAGAAAAAGAGTGAGAGGAAAGAAAACCCACCCTGTCTACCTCACTGGGTTGCCGTGAGGACCACATTCATCACGTCCAAGTGCTTGGAGAAGTACGAAGGAGTATGTCCGACGATTCCGTTCACAGGCCCATCACTGCAGTCAGCTCAGATGAGAACTCTTCCCACCGTGAGGCCTGCTTCTGACAGAAAACAGACTCTGCGTGCACCACCCACTCTCAGCTACGCAATCTCCACTGGGATGCGGGCACAGCAGCGGGATGAAGTGCTTCTCTGCAGGCTGATGACAATGAACTCGCGAAGGCTGCCCTCCCGCACACTTGACATCACTGAACCTTTCAGCAGCATTTGACGCGACTGTCACACGAAGCTGGGAAATGGCAAAGTGTGCTTTCGTGCCTCAAATCTCATCTTTCTACTAGTTCACTTGATGGAGACTTGTGTGTATTACAATTCTTCTGATCTACTGGAACCAGGGATGATTCAAGCAGTGTTTCATTGCTGCTACTAAAGGAAAACATTTAAGGTACTCTGATATGGGAATTTTTCAGGATACGGGTGGGGTAGTAGCCTCATCTTTCCCTCTCTTTTTCTCCCCCTCAGCAAAAACGGTCTCTCTCGTGACCTTGTAATCGACGTTAACAACACGCAACTCTGCTGCCTTATGGGTTTCTGTAATATAGATCAGTTAGCTGCCTTTTCGCACTGTACCTTTGCAGCACTGGATTGGCCTTGCCAGTTCACTAATGTCGGTTCTTATAGCAAGGGATGCTCTGGTTGAGACAATTTAATTAAACCTCCAAATGTTACAAAAGAGAAGCCCAAGGCTCAACAAGCGTGATTCTCCCAAAATAACACATCAGTCGGCGGCAGAGCCAAGGCCTGACGCAGGGTCCCGACTCCTCACTCAGGCTCCTCATAGAGCACTACCTGCCACAGTCCTATGTTAGCACACATGTCCAGTGACACTAGTCATCACCTGGCATCTGTTCAATGATGCCAGTGGTAACCACCACTTTGCTGGGTTGGCTATCTGAAAGAAAGCCCCTCAAGGTTACACAACTTTCTTTATTTTTCCAATAAACTCTGTACACTTGTCCTCATGGGTCTTTTAAACATGACGCCACCATCATGCCCAATTTCTGTGACTCAGAAAAATCAGGTTAGGGTCCATTATCTTGGTCACGTTTGTACTTGGTAAGACTCTGAATGTAAAGGTGGGAAATTCTGTTTTTTAGATGCTTATGGTATTATGTTTTTCCCTTAAACCTTAAAGAATCTGTATTTTTACTGCTTGTAGATTTGCTTTATTATACTCTTGGATTACGTATACTATTTTATTGAGATAAAAGTACTCTATTAAAATTACACCAACATGAAAGGGCATTTAGATTCCACCAATAAACACTGATGGCCTTAGAATAAAGAATTCTGAAACTACATGAGCGAGTGATTCACAGGAAGATCACCCATGTTTAGCTAGAGAATAACTACCAAGATTGATAGGTTTTGATAACATATTCATTTCTTTTCAATTTAAACAAACAAATCACAGAAGCAGATAGTTCAAATTGCTATTCTAGCAATTTTTTCTACTCTGTATGACCCTAAAAATTCCTAATGCTCACTTGAGAGAATCTGACTTAAGTTTATGGACCAAAGCTCAAAGCTCAGTGACCAGCAACCTCATTCTTTCGTCTTCCTTTGTAGGTACTTCATCATCTTGCTGCGCTTTTGGGGGTGGGGTGGGGTGGGAGGAAATTACAAAAGCATATACTCATACAACTTGCACACACATATGTACATAAGAATATAAAAACAAAACTCTGGGTTTCTCCTCTCAGACCCCTGAGCCTTCCCAAAAAGACAGTATGCTTCCTTATGTGCCACAGGAGTGATTTTTTTAGATGGTTAATGAAATTGCTCTGTGCAACAGTCACGATATAAAAGTTCACATTGCTGCAGAACACAAGGAAGTAAGTTCTTTCAGATCAGTTAAAGAATAAATCGAGGGCAGACTCAAAGGCTGAAGCCAACAACCAAGGCAAGTCAGAAATCCTTTAGAATCTAAACTGACATTAAACTTGGAGACCCAAGTTGATCAGACAGAGCTTTGGCAATGGAAACCACAGACAGACTGACTGACTGACTCAGAGACAGTTCGACAACTGCCAGCATGACTGTTGGGAGGGATGCCAGAGAGCCAAAGGCTGGGATTACCACCCAGTGCCTGGCGTTCTGAGACTCGTGTTTGAAGCTTTCTCTCTTATACTTCATCCAATATTTTTGTTTGGCTCCAAAGCAGCAAGGATTCACAGATTTTTTTAGATCATTAAATGTTCTTATTTTCAAGAAATATAACATTAGTTGTAAAAGAGCACACTTTTTCTCTGAAGTGTAAAGAAAATTTTGGTGAACTGCTTGACGCTCAGAGAAATCAGTGCTGAAGCCTGTTTAAATCTGCATCTTACTCCCACCCCCACAACAAGAAATCCACATCCATGATATGAACCGATCTCGTGTCGCACGGTTTCCTTTCCCACTGCACAGCCCTTTGCCTAGATCTACTCTCTCACTCTTCACGCGGCCTCCAGGAGGCTCTGCTTGGGCAAGTCACTCCCGCAGGGCACACCAGCAACAGCGAAGTCCGGCTCTGAGGAGAGGCAGTTGCTCAGGCATCTGGAGCTGTGAGGAAAGGAGCAGCGCAGAACAGCCTTCCAAGGGACCAGAGAGGGACGCTGCGGCTTCCCACGGCAGTGGTCGCTTAATGTGAGCTTTGGCCTACACTTCTGGCAAAGACTGCCATCAGGCCACTCACCTGGTGTCAGGAATCCCAATTTCACATCAGGACTCCCCAGACTCACGCAGAGGACCGACTTCCCACCCACCGGGGGCCTGCAGCCCTGCAGGCAAGCTCACCTCTGGGTCCCTGAGGAACAGAGCCTTCAGGATCAGCGCGTGCACATCTCCGATGAGCGGGTAATGCATCAGGAGGCCAAGGCAGGTCTGGTGGTTGCTGGAGATCACTGGACGAGAAGGAAAGAATCCAGAGGCAGTGGCAGCTAAGAGACTTTGCATGACTGAGAATGTGAAAACTGACAACTTAGAGTCAAAGAAAGCAAACCAGCAATGCAACTGGAGTGATGAGTCGGGACAAGGGGTTCTTGCCGCGGGCTCTGAGGCCGCTCACCACAAGGTCAGCAGCAATTTAGTCTATCAAAATGCGTCCTCAGGGTGCTGAGGGAAGAAGTTCAGGTTCAGATAAGTACCTGACAATGTTCATATAGTATATATTTGCAATATAAATAAATACAAATACATCCTCGGAAGCATGCATTTTTATTGCCACGTATTAGGTTATGTTTAGATATCTCCAGTTTTACTGTGAGGACTAAATCTGATCTTTTTTCCTCTTGTCCAAACCCCCAACTAAGAGGTTTTGGGACTCAGCCTGGTAAGGACTCACCAGACTTCATTACCTGACTACCCTGTACACTAAAGTCTGTTTTCCAACCAGACTCTGGCACAGCATCACGTAACAAGTAAAGAAGGAGATCAAAGTGCTTTATGACGTGGCAAAGCTGTCTCTTGGGAACTCCCAGACTCTGGGAACCTTGTAAGACACTTGCCTATCCTCTCTGCAGTCTGTTACATACAGGACTTCATCTACGTTTTCCCACCCCTTTGTCACAACAAAACATCTCTAGTGACTTCCAACATTCCTTAGATAGGACCAACAAATTACCAGTCAAGAAATCTCTGAATCCACCTATGGCCTGTAAGTTCTCACATGGGAAATTGCCCCTCCTTCCTGGGCCAAACCAGTGAAAATATCACATGTGCTGATTTATGGTTTCCCATAACTTCTGCCTTCCTAAGATGTGTATGACCGAGCCACCACCCAACTCTGGTGGACACACGTTCTCAGGATCTCCTGAGGATGGGTATTCCGGGGCCTAGGCCCTCAAGTTTGGTTCAGAAGAAGCCATCTTAAAACATTTCACAGTTTGGCATCTTTTTGTCAACAACTGTTTAGAAACTAGTAAACAAAACAAAACAAAACAAAAAACTTAAGAATGGATAAGAACCAGTTCAAAATTTTCATAATATTTACCTTGATGATTGCACCATAACTTGCATGTTATACTTATTCTTTTGTTTATATAAACATTGTATAATTCAAAACTAAAGAAAATATTTATTCTAATTATCTGTTTTTCTAAAAGTAACAAGAAATTCAGGAAAAGCATATCTATGCAGCATTTCTTAGAGGAAAAATGTCAAAATCTTCATAAATAAATCTAACTGTGTTTTGTAGCCTGTCATTTAATTTTTTCAAACCAACCTAATTATAGGAGCAATTATTAAACACATATTTTCAGGCAGGTCTATGTAAACTGCTTTATTTCTTGGCAATCTACCTGCCACTGCTGTCACAGTCATGTCCATTAATGACGCTGCTTTGTGAGCCACATTGACGGCCTCCACAGTACTGACTGTGCAGAAATTTAACAACTTCCTGTGTTTGCAACTGAATCCTTTTCATTAATCAGTGCTTGACAAAAGTTCGACAGGAAAACAACTGTGGTTCAATGGAAGCAACACAAATCACAAAATAAACAATTATTTGTAATTAGAAGTACCCTGATTCTTATGCTTTTTTTCCTGCTATTGGAGACATAATTTTGTGCTATAATCCCCCTCCCCCAGCCACGAGCACTATGGGGAAGGAGACAGGACTGGGTGAGCTGTGGAGGGAACCGATTTATCATCTTCATTTCTGTTGTGGCTCTGCCAGCCAGTAATTTCATACATCTGCTTTCATTTGTAAAGCACTCACTTCTCCTCCTCCTTTTATATGGGTTCAGACTCTTCTTATTTATTTTTTCATATTTACCTTCAGTTACCTGTTGTCCTTTTTTCTCTAGAAATTCAAAAAGTTAGGTTACTGAGAATAGTACAAAGTTTTAATGTAGTTTTTTTTGAGACCTAACAAGAAAACTCAGATAATGAATTCATCTTACAACTCAAAAGTTATTCTATACCAGTAACTGACCAAGGAAGAAGTCATGTATTTTATAAGAGAGGCAGGAGAATTTTGTGGAAAGGCCTCTGGGGTCACAACTCAAAGATGTGGTTTCAACTCTGGGCCCACCTTTGAACCTTTCATAAAGTCGCCTGATGATTAAGCAACGGAATCTACGTGACCAATTTACAGCAGGTGTTCAAAACCTCATCAGGTAACCTCTGTGAGCTTAAGTTTAGTCATCTGGAAAAACTTTACAATTAAAAAAATCCCTTGCCCAACTCATTCAATCCAATCAGTACCTGCTGGGTCCCTGATTCACAACAGGCCCAAGGTTAGGAAAGGACGGAGGGAGGGACAGAACCAGGTCCTTGCTGGAAGAAAGCACAGTGCAGAGGGCACACATGCAGCACCAGGTCACTGTTGCGACCACTACCACCACCAGGCAACAATGGATCCGTGGAAGCTTTCTGTGGCTGGGCCACATGCTGAAACCTTTGCCTACATTGTCTTATTTAATTTCTATGACAATCTTATGAAGGTACAATTAGTATCCCTGTTTTACAGAAACAAAAATTGGTACTTGGAGAGTTAAGTCTCTTGCCCAAGTCACACAGTGTTTCGCTAGTGGAGTAGGATTAGAAATTCAAAAGTCTAGCTAGCTGCAGGTCTGTGCTCCAATACAAGGTTTTGTTTCAAAATGCCATTGTTTCTAAAATCTAGTGACATAATGGATGTAAATACCATCGCACACAGTAAAGCCAGTCAGCATCACTGCTCTGGTGAAGTAGTCTTAAGTAGCCTGGAAGGGTCAGCATAACCCAGTCTTTACAACAGCTGGTTTAGATACGGATATAAAGATGGATAGGAATAAGAGCGTGCACAGAACTTTTGAGGCCATCAGCAGTCATAAAATATATAAGGGAAGCCAAATAGTGTATTAATATTCTGCGCATGGAATGAAAGGAAGCTAACATTCTTTCTTCCATCCGTCTATCATTTCCCCATCCATTCATCTATCCATCCATCCAATCACTGCATGCAATGAACATTTCCTGAGCCCCTACTAAATGCCAAATATATACAGACTATGCTAGGCACTGCACTAGGTACATAATGGTGAACAGTATGAGTTCTGTGTCTTCAGGTAATGTTATCTCTAATTTACTAATGAAAATCTGCAGTTGTAGAATACGTTTAATTCGGGACTACAAACACTAAGTATTAAATCCCCTTCTGAATAACTATTAGAGTAGGCAGAAGAGAATTATACAAGCTGGTTTAAAAACAGACTAGCAGGGATCTGACAGTAAACTTTTGTTAAACATGAGAAATGAATCTGTAATAATATTCCTTCTTCAATGTTCATTCTAACAGACAGGGCAGTGACGGGGGAAAAGAATGAAAGATGGAAAAATCATGCATTTGGTACCTACCTACATGAAGTATGTTTATGCTTTAAAGGCAAAAGACTGAAGCCACATCTGAAGAGCCGACTCAGGGGAGGTAAAAGCAAAGGTAAGGGGTACCTCGGAAAGCATAGCGGATTTGGACTAGAAAGCCCAACTGGATCACTGACCTTGTCACTCTTGTGTGAAGCCAAGCAAGTGGCTTTGCGTCACCGGACGTTCATTCCTACCATTGATAAAACAGAAACGATGACACCCATGTACTCACAGGGTTCCTGCAGGGGTGGCACGGATGCAAGGAGGGAGGTCCCTGTCACGCTCTATGGCCTGTGAGTTCACCCTGGGTGAACAGTACCGCCTCTACAGGAAGCAGAGCTGACTGCCTGCCTAACCTTTAAACAACCCACAACTGTCTGGAGTGGGCAGAGGGAGTTGGTTTAAACAGTTTCCCCAGTAGGAAGAAACAAAAACACAGTGATATCAGTAACGATAAGCAGAAAACATAATTGCTTTGAGATGTTTAACAAAATGTGTAACTCCAAGCTAACCATATCTACAGTTGTAACAGTTGTGATACATACAACATATTTCTGCAAATTACTTGACTTCATATTGAGATATACTTTCTCAAAGTAGTAAAGTAGACGAAAACCAACTACCTCAAAACAGGAAACTCAATACAAATTTCCTTTAATTTTCCGCAGTTTAAAAAAAAACAGCTATCCCCTATCAAGCACCTATAATAGGCCTGGCAATTCACTGTACATTTTACAAACATCCCGAGTCTTCCTACCTCCTCCTACGGAAAGCACTGTCATCAACTCCCTCTTAGAGATTGGGGTCTCAGGGTTCCAGAAGGGCAGAGGCCGGGCAGAACCCGATCCGTGTACTCGAGGGGCCTCCTCTCCACCACGGTGTCTCAGGCATTCCCGCAGCCCCAGCCATGCGGCCTAACGGGCATGTGCGCACACCCGCAAGGCAGACATGCTTGCCAATGTCTCCTGAACACCGACCGTGTGCAAAGAACCTCGAAGACACTCTAAGACGAGTCCTTGGTGTCCAAGGCCAGGGGCAGCATGTTAGAGGTAGGCATAAAATATTCTATTTGCCTATAAAATGGTATATAAAAATGATCACTTACAAAATAAGAACAACGAGCTAACAAGAAAGGAAACCTAAGGCTTTCTCATATCTTACTTCACTAAAAATGAAGCCAGTGTGGGTGGAAGTGCCTCGTCGGGCACAGGGTATGCAGCAGATGTTCAATTCATGCAGCGAGCTCTGAAAAAAATTTGCTGAGGGTCTACTACACACGGCAGACATTACATGATTACCACCTGCAGTCTCTTCAACTAAAGACCTTAACTATTTTGGCTTTCCCAGTATAAAACGGCAACATACAAAAAGGGATTGCAAAGGGACCAGAACACAATGCAGAAAAAATGGACAGTAAGACATAAATACAGACAAGAGAACTTGTATTTCGTTCCATCTTGGAAAAAGCCAAGTAAAAAGCATGGTCTCACCTGCAACAAACAGTGGTTTGGGTTGTGTGTAAGACCCTGCTGAAATTCCGTCCTAGGTTTTCCTC